TATATATATATATATATATATATATATATATATATAAAGAAATCATTTGTGCAGTGTTGACTATGAAGCAATTTAATCGATCATCTCTCTTCACTCTTGGGTTTTCCAATTAATCGACCGTTACTATCACTAAAAACAAACCAATTTATTATTACAACGGTCTGATTCCTTCTCATCTCACGTCTCCTTGGATGCCACGTGTACGTTCATGATGCATCCACCATCACAGCTGTCTTCGAGCCGTTTAGTTCCCGGGCCAACCGCGTTTCACCGTTAGATTTTTCCCTTTCTCTATATCCAACGGTTAGAATTTAAGGTTGTCCCATACCTGTGGACCCCCACTATTCGCTATATAATTTTTCTCCCTCATCTTCCTCTCGTACCCCCAACAGCAGCAGACACAACCTCAGTCGCAGATCCAAAAGTTATTCCATTCCATTCCATTCTCTCTCTCTCCCTCTAGAAATGGCAATGTTGATTTCCAAAGTTCTAGGGTTTCTGCTTCTCACCGGTCTATTGATCTCTTCCGCGGCGGCTCAATCGCCGGCTCCTGCTCCCTCAAACGGCGGCGGAAGGCGGATCTCTCCAGCGCCTTCGCCGAAGAAGACGCCCGCGCCTGCAACTTCTCCGACTCCAGCTACCACACCGACGCCGGAATCCTCCGAACAAAGCCGATTCTCCTTCCGCCGGCTCGCCGGCGATCACTCCATCTTCGATCTCATATCCGCCGGCAAATGCTCCTGGTCCTGCACAGAACGGCGCCGTCTCGAATAGATACGCGGTCTTTGGATCCATAGCGATTGCGTTGTGTGCAGCTGTTTTGGCTGTGTAGGGTTTGATGGAGGTCCATCTCCATTTTCTGAAAGTCGTATTCATTTGCTTAATTTTCTTTGTTGGTTTATTAATTGAGGCTTTCGTATTTGTGTTTTCTGACCATTTTGTTTCTCTCTCTCATTGTTTCTGTTATTCGTGACAAGGTTTTTGTAGAGTGTGATAATCGAATCATAACATTATCTTTGGACCCACCATTGATTTTGATATTGTGAACCAATATGATTGAAATTCTGTATTGGCCGCCACAAAACAAAAGTCTGCTTATCTATCTATAATTTTGTATAGTGAAATTTTGAATCAGTTTAAAATGTATTTTTTAATATTAAAAGTAAAATAAAATAGTAGAGTTCAGTTCACACACACACTGCAACATATCTCGTATTTTTCAAACAGACGGTTCGGTTGCAAATTCATAAATGTAGTAATATTACAACGAAAATTTAATTTGGATAACATTTCTAGTGTAATTAGAATTTATCCGTTACAAATAATCTATAATCCCAAATCAAATTTTAGTTAATCAACGGGTTTAAGCAGACCAAGAAGAGATCTCCTCTCAGATTCTCCATTTTTTTTATTCATACTTCTTTGAACTTCTCCACCTTGGTTTTCACTCGCTCATTCCCCTGGCCACGAAATAAAAAAATAAAATAAAATAACAAAAGCAGATAGTCGTGGTTGTAGACAATCACGTAAATATGTTAAATGTTTTTTTTTGGTAAAAAAATATGTGAGAATTAATTGGTAACTTCAACTCATATATTTCTCCTATTGTGACCGTATGACCAAAATTATAGTTTGGTCACATAATGATCACATTGGTTATAACATTAGAATTATAATAGTTTTATCAAATGATTAGTTTGATATAAAAGGGATGAATATGATGAAATAGTATAATCATCGTAAATTTAAAGTTATGAATAATGTGATCATCGTGTTATCAAACCGTAATTATTATCATTGAAAAAATGTATGAGTTGAAGTTGAAATAGCACCGAGAAAGTATTTTTGATAATGTGCCGAATTAATTGAACGTAAACCGATGATCAGAGTAGTTTGAAATCTGAATATGTTAAATCCTACATAAATTTTACATAATTACCCTTACATTGGACAAGTGCACTCAAGTGGTCGGCCACAACACAAACCTCTGTCCTAAGTTCTATTTGATTTGTCCTCCTCGATACATGATGTAGATGTACCGTATCTACCTGGGATATTTCGTGTGATCTCGACCGTCTAAATTCAGCCGTCCTTATATTAATCGGACGGCGTACAGACCCCGACACCTCTCTCCGATCCCTATCTCGTCCCCCCCATGTTTGGAGGTCCAAAATCTCAAATCTCCAAGAATTTGTGAAGCTAGAATCACAGAATCTGTAAAAGGAATTATTAATTACATAATCCTATTTTTGCAGGTTAATTTTTATTAACAATGGGCAATGATCAAAATCTTCTAAGCGAAATATAGGCTCATATGAATAATTAATACGAATAATTCGAGTTAGTACGTACGTAGATATATACGTGTTTATAGACTTGGGTTAGTATTTAATTAATAGCTGTTTAGAATTAATTAATTCTCAATAATCCTTCCCGCTTCAAGTATTTAAACCCTAAACACCCCCCATTCCTTCCTCAAAACTTATTCCTCATCCTTCTACTACCTCTCCATATTGACGGACTTCGACCTCGATCGCTATATGGCCATTTCAAGAGTCCTCCACGTAGCCCTATTGGCGGTGGTTGTGGCGGCAGCGGCGGAGGTCGTGACGCTTTCTCCGGCGTCCGGTCCAGCCACCGCTGTTCCACCGGCCGGAGGAGTTACTCATTCAGCTCCGCCTCCGTCGCCGACAAAGCACGCAGCTCCGCCGAGTCATTCCTCGGACAAGATGTCACCTCCGGCACCGGCGCCACGCGCCGCTGCTCCAGCTTCGACGATTTCAAACACCCCGGCTGAGGCTCCGGCGCCGGAGGGGAGCGCCGCCGCATCGCCGACCGGTTCATTCGCCGCGGGGATGTTGTTCTTCTCCGCCGCCGCCGTTGTTTTGGCGGCCGTTTAGAGAGAACGGATCGATGAGTCTTTCATCCATTAATCACCATAATGAACGTTGTGAGCTTGTGTTTTTTCTCTTTGGTTTAGGGTTTACTCTAACTGTCCGTTTTGGACAACCTCTGTTTTTTTTTTTTTTTTTATGTACTAATGTGATTCGCCTGGTGATGGATTGGATGAAGCGCTTATATTGTACTGACGTGATTGGACAATAAATTTGAGCTTATTTGGGCCCACTTTATGGGCTTTATTAAATTTGAGCATGTAACCGGACATCTATTAATAAAGGGAATTTAACGGTCACTGTTAACCGGATGAATCACGATTCCGGTTTAGTATTTAAGTCTTCTCGATGTGATCAGTCCGGAGAGTCGATATGGCATCGCAGAGCACCGCATCCATGGCGGCTCGCTCTCTCTTCCGTGCTTTCAAATGGTAAGCTCACTTACGGGTTTCTCTCTTTCTCAAAATGTTGCACAAACGAGGAAGGATAGAGGTTTTTTTTTTTGTCTTATACGAGAAAAACCGGATCGAATTTCATATGGCCTCCTTCGGGTTTTCCCCGTTTTCGATGCCTAATTGACTATGTTCATTAACGGCTGTTATGGATTACCCAGTCAGTTCAAGAACGGTGCGATCGGCAACTGCGTTAGAAATTCGGAAACCTCGCGATTTCCCAAGTTCTACACTGCAGATGCAGCGATCGGCCGCGCGCGTGTCGAGGAATCGGTAGAATCGGGGGAGAAGGACGATTTGAAGAGCAAGATCTTCAGGTTGAGGCTTCCGAAGCGGAGCGCGACTACCGTACTCGAGAAATGGGCCGGCGCGGGCAATCGGATTACTGCCGATGAACTTCGGGAGATCTCCAGAGAACTTCGGAGAACAAATCGTTACAAGCATGCTCTCGAGGTATTAATCAATCGCCTACTGTTTCATTTGAAATTTTGTTGAATTGAGTTGGAATCTAGTCCGAGCAGGTTCATATGGGAAGTTACTCTTCGGATGATCCTTCACAGCATTTGTGGCTGTGCATAAAAGGAACAAGAGAGTTTTCTGATTCACGGGAAATTTCAGTTGACTATAGATTATTTGTTTTAGTATGACCTGAAAACCCTAGTGGGAAGACTCCCCAAGAACAAAAGTAAACGTCTTTGCCTTCGCCCTCTACGGGAGGCGTCTGCATCGTCACAGCTTGAAACGCTCTCCGGCAATATTGACACCGCAATGCGCAATCCTCGTAGCCCTTCGAGTACTCGAAGAGTACAAAGCAGTATGGACAAGATGTCCAGAAGCTCGAAGCCGTAGGTTCTGCCTACACGATGAATGATGGTGGCTGCCAATTGATTAACTTATCTGGCTAATATATCCATGTACGTGTTTATTTTAAACCCTAATGATTCTGGCACCGTGGTACTGATTCAAGCTATGAGCCTATGACAGATTTCGGAATGGATGGTTCAGCACGAAGAGTCTGAGATGTCGGATAAGGACTATGCTGTGCGCATTGATCTTATGTCCAAAGTTTTTGGGATCGATGCAGCTGAACGTTACTTCCAAGGTCTGCACCCATCTGCAAAATCAGGTGAAACCTATACGGCTCTCCTGCATGCTTTCGCTGGCTCGAAACAAACTGAACGTGCTGAGTACTTGTTCGAGAAAATCAAAGAGGCTGAAAACGTCGCTTTCACTGCCATCACATACAACGAGATGATGACTTTGTACATGTCAGTCGGCCTGGTGGAGAAGGTACCTGGAGTGATTGAAGAGCTAAAACGGAAAAGGGTTTCTCCAGATATCTTTACATACAATCTCTGGATAAGTTCATGTGCTGCGACCCTTAACTTTGACGAAGTTGGAAGGATTCTAGATGAGATGAGAAGGGGTGCTAATTCCAAGGACGGCTGGGTACGATACATCAATCTTGCTAATATATACATAAGCAGTGGTAGATTTGCTAATGCGGTATCGAGCTCTCCCGTGGAAGCTGAGAAAGGTATTTCACAAAGAGAGTGGATAACGTATGACTTTCTTATAATTCTGCACACGGGATTAGGGAACAAGGACATGATCGATCAGATATGGCAGTCATTGAGAAGGACAAACCAGAAAATGACGAGCAGGAGCTACATTTGCGTTCTTTCTTCATATGTGATGCTCGGGCACTTGAAAGAAGCAGGGGATGTTATTGATCAGTGGCAGCAGTGTAAAATTGCAGAATTTGACACCTCTGCCTGCAAGAGGATCTTGGCAGCGTTTCGGGATGTGGGGTTAGAGGGAAAAGCCAACGACTTTCACATGCTTCTGGTCGAGAAGAAATGCGGGTTGGAAAACGAGGCGGCATAAGGGTGGATGAATTTGGCAGTGATGGGTGAGGGCAGTGGTTTTCTTAGGGCAAACCCACAAGAAGGAACTCGACAAGTGAAAAGTTTATGGCTTTGTTTTTTTGGTCTTTGCTTAGACTCGCATTCACTTTAGTCTATGCAATGCCTTCAAACCTTTGCTTATCTATGTGCATTTAAGTGGTACTAATCTGGACATTGTGGTATTGATCTGGATCTGGAACTGGATGTTGCATAGGACAGATTTACAGCACAACAATGGGAAACACCCCAAAGTTTTGTCCTCTGAGAAGATGAAAACATGTGATGAAAGCAAAAGATGCAAATCAAGCACGAAAGAGACGAGGGACCCATGTAAAGGAATCTTGGATTCAGATCCCCAAAACACAGTTTAGGCAAAGATGATCATCCTATGGCTCTCACAATACAACTTGTCTTTCCAATGTTTTGTTAATGGACCAATCTCTCTCTCTCTCTCTCTAACTAGCTAATCACAACCCATCTTCTGTTATTATCCTTCTTCATTCACCTGTAGTAACCGGACATCCTTCTCCATGATGAATAAAACAAGTATACATTTTCTATGCTATTGTGTTCACCACAACACTCAATTAGTTTGCTATTGAAATGGTAGAAATGACTTGCCATTTCTCGTCACTGGCTGCATTTCGTTTGGGGGAATATATGGCGAATCTGTAAAATCTTTAGTTATATAATAAAGAATAAGAAAAGATCAAAGAAGAGTTCAAGAGCCAGAGATAAAATGTATAGATGATGAAATCAAATAATGTTAATTTTAATCAATTTTAATATAAAGTTAATTTACAACTTAAGAAAACATTATATATATATATATATTATAAAAACCGAATTTAAAAAGGAATTTATTCAAAATATAATAAATATTTAAACAAGAAAGTATCTGAATAAAAAATAATGGAATGAAGATACAAAATATTTTTTGAGGGGAGAAGTAATTACCATGAGAGTATTTAAAGGGTTCAAAATGGTTGATCATTTCGGTTTTCGATTCGGGTCTAATTATTTCGACTATAAAAGAATTATAACCATTCGATTTTTATATTAACTTCGGATCGTTTTGTATTCGATTTTTTATTGATAAAAAACTTATTTTTTTCAAAGAAATTAACAATTTTTTTTTATTTTTTTATTCAATTCAGTTCGATTCAATTATAGTTATATCTTATTCAATTCGACTATTCCATTAATAACCAAAATGGATTACTAGTTGAGATTTATCAATATTATTTTTATTTATAAAAAGTCCTCATTATGTTAGTACACCTGCGGGTCTTTAAATCTGTTTCGCAAATTTAAAAGAAAAAAAATCAAATGCAAATAAGAGAGTAGACAAAATACATCATATTTTATAGTACACATACAAATAAAAATACAAGTATACGTCTAAATCCAACCATTGAAAACCAGAAAACTCGTACAGCAAATTACAAAAAAGGGTAATATCCGAAATCCAACCATTGATTAAACAGACATCATAGGGGCAATATCGTGACTTTAATGACTTGGGCCGTTCTTCTCCGAAGTCTCGGGCTTTGGGATCTCAGGAATCTCCGGCTTCGGGAATTCTGGTAATTTCGGTATCTCCGGTTCTTTTGGAACCTCCGCCACTTTTGGTACTTCGGGTTTGGGAAATTCCGGCACTTTGGGCACTTCAAATGTGGGAAGCTCCGGCACTTTCGGAGTCTCATGCTGTGGGATTTCCGCCATTTTCGGAACTTCCGGCAACTTGGGGAGTTCTGGCTTGGGAATCTCCGGCAACTTTGGAACTTCAGGTTTCGGAATCAATCCAAACCGTTAATGAATTCTTGCTTCTATACAGCCGTTGTGTCAAGAACGTCTCCGGTACCTTGGGGAGTTCTGGTTTCGAAATCTCCGGCAACTTTGGAACTTCGGGTTTGGGAAGTTCCGGCAAGTGTGGGAGTTCCGGCTTAGGAATGTCCGACAACCACCGTGCTGCGACAGAAACAGGGTCGGTGACAAATGCCATAAGACATATCAGCAGAAGAGCCCAGAGACTCGACGCCATTGCTCTTCTCAAAAGGCACAATGCAATACTTTTGTGCGTTTTGTTTCTGTGGATGGAAGACTCGGGACTCAGTGAGTCAGGCGATTGACTGAGTTCGCAGCTTTTTTTTTCTTTCTGTCAGCAAACTGTGTTCTTCATCACCTAATCTGGCAGAAAGGCTGCCGCTTTGTGCATTCAAGATGGCAACAGGATGTAGCGGATTCTGTTGTTTGGTGTTTTAGTTGTATTTGCTGTTGAGATCAAAGCACCGATTTTAATGGCGAAAACCAGAAGCAGCAAAAGATAGATACAGGGAAGAGCACATGCGCATAAACTCTACATAGAAAGCCTAAACTATTTTGATATGTTTGACAGAGGAAGACATGTACCGGTGGAGAGGTTAAACTAACTTATTAGATACGATGTGGTTTTCTGATGCTGTGAGGTGAAGCTACTGCTTTGGCCGTTCATGTTTCGGGGTAACTGTTCTTCCCGATTTCCGAAAATGAGGTCCACCTTCAGCCTACTTCACCTCTTTTCGCCTCTTGTTAACTTATGCTACTTTAATGGCGCTTAGTTTTGTTGGTGGGCAGTACACTGGCCTGTCTCTATTAGGAAATTTCTGTATTGTCATGCTCGTTTCAGACCAGTTCATAATTTGTTTTTTTCTGTGTCCTACTCTGTAGTATCCTCTGATGGATGAGATGCGAAGAAAGGAAGGAACTTTATCGATCCATGGTAGCTACGCGCGGCTTTCCCCAAATGTACGTTCAGAGAAATCGGCACTTTCAAACTGAAGATCTTCATAACAGGGAGCAGAAAAGGAACAAGAAGAAGCTATAGGGAACTTCAATATCTTGGAAGAACGGTTCAGGGAAGACATTCTCGGTCACTTAAACCACCATAGATCTTTTTCCTAGAGCTCAATTTGTTTCTCCTTCTGAGGACAGGAGTGGATGCTGCTGCTTCACTTCTCCATCTGTCAATTCAGAAAAACAAAGACCCAAGAATTTATCCAGAAGATTGACAGAAACAATACAAAAGCATTAGGCACAAGATGTGAATAAAAGTTCCATCAATGATGACATGTATTCGTCCATCTGGTCCTCGGGAAAGATACATTCTTAGAGCTCATGGAACAGATTTCTTGTGCCACAAAAATGATGACCCAAGAATAGCTGCTTTGCTGTAAATGAAAATTCGGCTAGTTTTGTCGTTTCCTCTAATCTGAAACAAAAAAGGGTTAAGGCTTCTTCTAAGTTGTCCACCACAGCCATACCCATTACCAGTTTCATAGGAGCATATACAACTGATAAGGCAAGTTCCTCTTAATAGACGGAAATTTATACACCATGTGACTGGAAGAAAAAACCCGCCAATATTTGGCACAAAATACATAATTGGAATCCAATTCCAAGGAATCAAAACATCAGAATCTTCTACAGCTATACATCATCATCCAGCATACAATACACAAAAGTTAAGGTTACAACCACAGCAATGACAGAAGACAACTAAGTAGCCTTGACCTTATCATCCTCAACGACTGAAAGGATTGGCAAACTACTCAAGAATTCGTCAAGGCCCTCGAAAAACCCATTCCCTTCGATATTATCATCATCCCTACTACTTCTGAGCCCATTCCCATCATTTTTCCTCCCTGCCACAGAAGGCTCTTCCACTTCATTATTGAACTCCACATTCAAATCCAACCTTCCCAAGTTCTTAGCTCTTGTTCCAACCCGTTTTCTACTTGTAGAACAATCTTGTGCGATTGAAACCGTAGGATTGCTAACACCACTGATACTTACTACATTTTGGCTTCCCCTCCCAGCTTTCTCAGCTCGCTGTTTTGTGCTACTTTTCCGAGTGGTTCCTTTCCCTTTCCCAAACTTTGCCTTCTTATTCCTCGATTCATCATTCAGCCAATCCTCATCATCATCATCTTCTTCCGGTTCATATTCATCCTCTGAAAGTTCGACATATATGTCATCATCATCATAAAATATTCTAGGTGAAGCTGGTTCCTTTCTCGTCGGCTGCTCTGACACCCTCTGACCGGGCAATGGGAAGAG